ATTTTTGTAATGTGCTTTCTATATCCTTTTAAATTCTGTAAAATCTGTGGTAATGTCTCCTAGATCTTGATATTATAATTTTAAAATGTATAATTGATACTGTGTAACAGGAAGAAAAGGTCTAAAGGTGCAGGGAAAGTGAGAGGGGTAGGGGAAAGGAGAAAAGGGAAAAGAAAAAATAGGAGAAAAGGAAAAAAATGGAAACAAGGTCTTTGCAAATAGGGAAAAGTGGAGGGGGTGAAGGGAGGGCAGGGGAAGGAGGAAAAAATGAGAATCAAGATACTCATGTAATGGTACAAGATCTCAATGATGAATGTAACTGTATTTTATACCAAAAATGTACCAATAAACTTAATGGGAAAAAAAATTTTAAAAATGAAAACCCTTTTCGGTTCCTTCTGAGCCTCTCCCGAAATGAAGATCTTGATTAGTAAGAGCTTAGTGAACAGCTTGGTGCTTACCTTACTCTGTGGACATTGCCACAGAGTAAACTGCCGCAGGAGTCCAGGGGGATGAGTAGGAAATTTTCCTGTTCCCAAAAGAGAAAATAATCCTGAATATGGAGGATTTTCCTCAGAAGATGGCTGTTTTTAAAAAGAAAGCTTTAGCTCATCAGCTTCAGCCTCAAAGCTCCAATATAGAAAATAGTGTTTTTAGATTAAGATGTCTCAACTCTCTTGGTTGATGACAACAGTGAGTCTCTTGGCCCAGGACATCTAGTTAAATTGCTCAGACATGAGATACCTTTTGATAGTACTGCACCTGCTGAACTTCTAAATCCCTGTGAGACCTTGGCTCCAAATCCCATGCACAGCTGTCATTTGCTGAAAAAACAAAAGATGGTGCTCTTGGCTTTACCCAGTTGGGTGCTGTGAGAGGCAGGGCCCTGGAGTTATGGAAGGGCAGTTTCGTTCAGACACAAATCCTCGGCTTCATCCTTCTCATGGAATTGCAGGATGAGCAGTGACAAGAGTCTGCCCGTCTGCTTGTCTGAGGATAATTGCTTTTGCTGACTTTATTGCTGTCCCGAAGGACCGTTGATTTAGTCTGGGAAATCCCAGCGGTGAGGAGAGGATTAAACGTTCTTTCTATTCAGGAATCATAAGAGGTTGCTGTAGAAACCAGAAACCCCATTTGCCTTCGAAACTTCATTTTGGCAGGATTCTGGAACTAGAGCCGGAAGAGCAGGTCCCCTGCTGACGTCTCCTTCACCGCCTCTCCTGGACACGGATGCCAAGGCGTATGTGCGGCTTTAACTTCAGACCCCACATCTAAGCTGAGAACCGGCTCTGTGTAACCTACTTAGAAAGGAAAGGGTTCTGCTCAGTACTTCACCTTCATGTACCTCCCACGCTTTGGACAAGAGGGTAGGTTAGGCCATGCCTCTGGAGGTCCTGACTGCTGATATAGCTCTGACCTCACTCTGTTCAGTCTCATCCTGCCTAACACCTTCCCATAGTCCACCCAGCCACTGGGGCCTGACCACACACACAAGTACTTCGTATGACAACTCCTGGGCAAAGCGCTCTCCCGAAACAAAAGAAAATAAACCAAACAATCAAGCAAACAAAAACAAAAGCTCCAAAATTGGGTAATCAAAACTTTTATAACATTTAAAATTTTGTAAAACAGCCATTTTGTAAGCCCCAGAATGATGTCCTTAATCTATTGCTGCTTTCCAGCTCTAAGTATTCCATTTAACAGAAAGCACCATGGCTTCCCCATGAGAGTGAGTTACTAATAAAACATGAAAACTTATTTTAAAAATGCTTATTGTCCTTCAGAGGCCATGGTTATGCATAACAAGATGAATTTATGTTACTTAACTGGATTTGTTAGCAGCAATTTGGCAGTTAATTATAGCAAAATTGTGTACATAACGAATAGTGACTATAATTGGATGTCAAGTTTAATCGTGGCCTGAAACTAAGAGAACATGTCCTAGGAAACACCATGTCCTAGACGAGGGACTTGAATGTCAGCCAGCTGCCTGCTCCTATTGGCTCTGTCATTCCTACAACACCAGGAAATCATAGTTTACAGGTGATATCATCTACACAGAATTAGTGGAAAATAAGGCAGCTCCCAAGGAAAGCTCTGCCCTGACCAGAACATGACATTCACAGTTGATTTCAAAGGAGTCATCTTCTGCTTGCCATGAAGACAAAATAGATCTACAGAATTAAAGAATGCAGAGGAGGTGGGGAGCAGAGAAAACTCCCCTTGTGCCTGAAGGCTTTGTAGTTCCCCTTTTTTGAAACCTCAGTTCTGCTTCTATTTCCATTTCTATTCGGTGGGTCATCTTACTTCTTCTAATACATTCTTCTGCTGAGTGTTTTACCATCTTCCCTGCCTAGTCATTTACCCAGGACTTCATCTTTGTCCCTGGACAGGAATACGAGCTCGCAGAGAGCTGGAATCACAAATCTGCTGTTGGCTTTGTGGCTTCTCCATCTGCAACATTGGCGATCACAGACCAGGTGTAAGAGACACCTGATGACCAGATCCATAGATGGCTAGGACTACACCCAGCTCTCAGCCTGGGAGGCCCATCCTACCTCCTTCTCCTGCTTCTACAAGAACCTCTGATTCAATATGGATTTCTCCCTGTGGATCCGTCACCTTTTTCACCTGAGGTCTTTGGCCCAGATTTAAAACTGCATCTTCCCCTAAGAGAAAGCTGTGTGTGTTTTGGAGGGCGTTTGGCTTGAAAAAGTGGTTTCTAGGCAACCATATAAAAAAAGTTCCATTAAGTCATAATGACTACAAAAGTATCAGTTTGGCCTTACAGGCAGGACTGAGAATCCAAAGATAATTAGCCACAGCTATCCAAGTAGGCTTCTGAGGGTTCATTTTTGGATTGGGTCTTTTTGAGTTTTTTTATGTATTCTAGATATCAGTCTTTTGCCTGAGGAACAGCTGGCAAAAATGTTTTCTCTCTCTGTTGGTTGTCTGTTTATTCTGTTTGTGGTTTCTTTTGCTGTGCAAAAGCTTTTTAGTAAGATGAGATCCCAGTTGTTGATTCTTTGTAATTGTTCCTGTGCAATCAGTATTTTGTTCATAAAGACTTTGCCTATACCTATGTCTTCAAGAGTTCCATCTATTCTCCCTTCCAGGAGGTTTCATGTTTCTATTTTAACATTTAGATCTTTGATCCATTTTGATTTTAGTTTAGTGGATGGTGAGAGGCATGGGTCTAGTTCTAGCCTTTGGCATGTGGAAAGCCAGTTTTTCCAGCAGCATTTGTTAAAGAGGCTGAGTGTTTGGCCCCTTTGTGGCTGAGTGTGTTTGGAGTTGTTTCTGCATCTTCTATTCTGTTCCACTGATCATCAGGACTGGTTGTTGTTGTTGTTGTTTTCCCTGTACCATGCTGCTTTTGTTACAGTAGCTCTGTAACACAGTTTCAAGTCAGGGATTGTGATGCCCCTCGCCTTGCCTTTGTTGCCCAGAATTGTTTTTGCTATTCTAGGTCTCTGCTACCTCCAAACCCATTTTAGGAATGTTTTCTGTAGTTCTGTGAGTTATGCTAATGATATTTTGATTGGGATTGCATTAAATCTGTATAACAATTTTGGGATTATGGTCATTTTTACAGTGTTGGTTCTTCCTACCCACAAGCAAGGGATATCTTTCCATTTTCTGATATCTTCTTCAATCTCCTTTTTCAGAGTACTATAGTTTTTGATGTGAAGATCTTTTACTTCCTTTATTACATTCCCCAATACTTCATTTATTTGATGCTATTGTGAAAAAGGTGGCTTTCCTAATTTCCCTCTCAGTAAGTTTGTTATTTATGTGCAGGAATGCTATTGATTTTTGAGTGTTGACTTTGTATCCAGCTACACGACTGAATTTTGTTATTAAATCTAGAAGTCTTTTGATGGAGGTTTTGGGGTCTTCTATGTATAGCATCATGTCATCTGCAAATAATGATAGTTTAACTTCTTCCTTTCCTATCTTTATTTCTTTCTCTTGTCTAATTGCTGCAGCTAATGTTTCCAGAACTGTATTGAATAGGAATAATGATAGTGGACATCTTTGTCTCGTTCTTGATTTTAAAGTGAAAGCTTTCAGTTTTTGAACATTTAGTATGATGTTGGCTGTTGTTTTTTCATAGATAGCTTTTATCAGATTGAGATAAAGACCACCTATTCCAATTTCCTGCAGAGTTTTTTTTTTAAATCATGAATGGGTGCTCCACTTTGTCAAATGCTTTTCCTGCATCTATTGAGATGATTATGTGATTTTTGTCCTTTGCTCTGTTAATACAGTGTATTACATTTATTGATTTCCATGTGCTGAACCATCCTCGCATCCCTGGGATGAGTCCAACTTGGTCATAGTGTATAATCTTTTTGATGATTTGCTGAATTCTATTTGCTAATATTTTTTTGAGGATTTTTGTATCTATGTTCATTAGAGAGACTGGCATGTATTTCTCTTTTTTGGTTAGATCCTTCTCTGGTTTTGGTGTCAGGGTAATACTTGTTTCTAGGAATGACTTTGGGAGTATTTCTTCCCTTTCACTTTCATTAAAGAATTTGAGGAGTAGTGGCATTAGAACTTCTCTAAATTTCTTATAGAATTCAGCATTGAAACCATCAGGACCTGTGCTTTTCTTTGTTGGTAGGTTTTGAATTACTTCTTCAATTTCATTGACTGTTATTGGATTATTTAGAATTTTTATATCTTCTTGATTCAGCTTTGGTAATTCATATGTATCTAGGAATCTGTCCATGTCTTCTGTGTTTTCCATCTTATTAGATTAAGTTTCTCAAAATAGATGTTGATGAGCTTCTGGATTTCTGCAGGATTCATTGTGATTTCACTCTTTTCATTCCTAATTGCTTGGCTTTGAATATTTTCTTTCCTTCTTTTGATAAGGTTGGCTAAGGGTTTGTCAATTTTATTTAATTTTTAGAGAACCAACTCTTTAATTCATTGATTCTTTGGGTTGTTTTCTTAGTCTCAATTGCATTAATTTATGCTTTAATCTTCATAATTTCCTCCCTCATAGGAGCTTTGGGCTTGACTAGTTCTTTTTTTGCAAGTTTCAGTTTCAACATTAGGTTGTGTATTTGAGCCTGCTCTGATTTCCTAATGTGAGAGTTCACTGCTAAAAATTTATCTCATAGGATTTCTTTCATTGCATCCCATAAGTTCCAGTATGTTGTATCAGCATTGCCATTTAATTATAGAAACTGTGTAATTTCTTCTTTAATTTCATCTGTGACCTATTGGTTGTTCAGGAGGGTATTGTTTAATTTCCATGTGTTTATGAAGTTTTTGTGGTTTCTTTTGCCAATGAGTTTCAATTTCATTGCAGTATGGTCTGATAATATGCATGAAATAATGTCAAGTCCTTTGCATTTACTTAAGCATGTTCTATGAGCGAGTATGTGGTCTATTTTGGAGAATGTCCCATGCACAGCTGAGAAGAATGTGTATTCTGTTGTTGTGGGGTGGAATACTCTGTCAATATCTACTAAGTTCATTTGTTCACAGGTTTGGTTCAGTTTTGACATTTCATTATTGATTTTTTTGTTTAGTTGACCTAATTGTGACAGTGGGGTATTGAGTTTCCCCATTACAATTGTGTTAGTGCTTATTTAATTTTTCATGTCTGTTAATATTTGTTTTATATAATTGAGTGTGCTGGTATTTGGTGCATATATGTTTGTGATTGTTATCTCTTCCTCTTGGAGTTTTCCCTTAACAAGGATGTAGTGACCTTCTTTGTCTCTCTTGATCAGTCTTGGCTTGAAATTCACTTTGTTTGCAAATAGAATAGCTACCTACCCCTGCTTTTTTCCAGGTTCCTATTGCCTGAAGTATTGTTTTCCATCCTTGGACTTTTAGTCTATGATTTTTTTTTATTTAAATGTGTTTCCTATATGAAGTAAATGGTTGGATCTTATTTTTTTAATCCATTCTGCCAGTTTTTTTCTTGGTGAATTGAGACCAATTACATTGATGGTTATAATTGATACATATTGGTTTATCCTTGTCATATTGTTTTCCTGTTGTTGGTTCCCTGTCTTTCCCTTCTGTTTAATTGTTTACCTTGCCTTGGCTTCTTTGTACTGGTGTTCTTGTAATTGTGGTCTTTGTTATCTCTTTCTAAACTATCTTTCAGAACAGTTTGTAGAGCTGGTTTGGTGGTCATGAATTTATTTAGTTATTCTTTGTCATGGAAGAATCTTATTTTTCCATTGATTCTGAAAGATAGTTTTGCAGGGTACCACAATCTAAGTTGGAGGCTGTTTTGGGGGGTTTTTAGGTAATAAGAAGAGATCCCACTTGTTGATTCTTTGCACTATTTTCTGTGCATTTCGGGTTTTGTTCATGAAATTGTTGTCTACACCTGTGTCCTCAATAAAAGGAATAAAGATAGGAAAGGAAGAAGTTAAATTATCTTATTTACAGATGACACAATTCTCTACATAGAAGACCCCCAAAACTCCACCAAAGGACCATGAGATTTAATAACCAAATTCAGTAGCATAGCTGGATACAAAATCAACTCTCAAAAATCAATAGCATTCCTGTACACAAACAACAAAATCACTGAAAAAGAAACAACATTTTTCACAAAGCATTGAAAAACATGAAATACTGAGGAATCAATCTAACAAAGGAAATAAAGAACCTGTACATAGAAAATTACAGAACTCTTAGAATGAGATTGAAGAGGAAATCAGAAGATAGAAAGATATCCTCTGCTCTTGGGCAAGAAAAAACAACAAAATGAAAATGGCCATACTCTCAAAGTTGTTATACATATTTAATGCAATCCCAATCAAATTACCATTAGTGTACCTCATAGAACTAGAGAAAACATTCCTAAAATTCATTTGGAACCAGAGGAAGCCTAGAATGCTAAAAACAATTCTGGGCAACAAAGGCAAGTCAGGGAGCATCATAATCTCTGACTTGAAACCATGCTACAAAGCCACTGTGATAAAGACAGCATAAAAACTGGCAAAAAAACCAGACCTGAAGATCAATAGAACAGACTAGCAGAGGTGGAAACAACACTAAACACACTCAGCCATCTTATCTTCGACAAAGGGGCCAAGCATGTTCATTGGAGGAAGGTTAGCCTCTTTAACAAGTGGTGCTGGAAAAACTGGCTTTCTGCATGCTATTTCAAAATTCCCACTTTCCCTGTCCTTTTGGAAACCACATTTGAACATTGTATTCTGTACCTCGTCCCACTGGGCAAAGAGCAGGATGAAGCTGTAGGTGGGAAGAGAATATCTAAACTGCTGGGAAATAATGGCGGTGGGGAGAGTGGATGAACAAACCTGGCAGTGTTCTTTGACTCATTCCCTGCCAGCTTCTTAGACGCAGGAAAGCATGTGGCTTCACACAGGAGTTTCTCAAAGGCAGTTTTTTATGTTCATTATTAAAAGATGCCCGTGGGGCTGGGAGGAGGGACAGGGTTGAGAGACAGTGGTCACTAGGATGCACCGAGGCATTCAAACTCTGAATTAACAGAGTCCTTTCCATTCCGGCACCAAAGCCAAAGGACTGCACTTTCCAAGCAGGCCTCTGTGATGCCGAGAGTTCTGTAAAGGTCTCCCATAGTCTGTGCAGAACTTAATAACTAGGGTACCCTCCCATCTCCAAGAGCCTGCAGCAGTCCTCAATGACCCGGAGGGATTCTCCGTGGTCTTGAGTTTTTCTTGTCTCCAGAGTTCTGCATGCTGAGCTTTAGGCATCTCTTCACTCTTGTCCTATATAAGCCACACCCACCCTTACAAGCCATATATATATGGAGAGAGAGAGAGAGAGAGAGAGAGAAATTAAGACAAAAAGCAACAGAGAAAGGGAACCATACCCTAATATGCCGCTGCTCTGAGATAAGATAGTTTGGTCCCTGGATTGGAGAAAAACACTTTTT